TCCTCACCCTCCGTCAGATTACCATTCCGGTCTGTTTCCCCCACAACTCCTTCCCTATTGCAACCTTCCGCCACTTCTATGCCACCCGCCTCGCTGTCACGGTGCATCCAAACGTCTCTACCAGGTGCGCCACCCCTGTCTTTTGTCTCCATGTCCTTCTCTTCAGTGTCGCGTGGCAAGGCCACAACATGATCGAGGTATATTGCAGGATTACGGGGACTATCCCGGCATGCAAAAACCATGATCGATTCAGAATGGCCCTCCTTCGCGCCTTCACGACCCTCTATCCCGACTACCTTGCGTCCCTTCCCCATGGCGGCACCTGCTTCCCGCGCTTCCATCGGATCGTCCGATATCGGGAGTTCCCGGTGACAGTCGCGGGATTGGAACACTTTCTACCCCCACTCCCGACTGACCCGCCCCCTCAGCACGCCCCCATGCACCGTCTTCCCTTTCCTCTCCCTGCTAGCTACTGATGCGCGGATGTATGGCACGTGCCACGGCGATGGCACACACGATCCCCTTCTTGGACTGAAGAGAGCCCTTTCTGAGGAAATTGTAGGATAAAGCCACGTGTGCCACCCTCGATAACGTCTACACTCTTGTCGAACGGTAAGTGGCAATGAAGAAGGCTCCGCATGTCGATCAATTAGAGAGATCGACACGTGTCATGATTCAAGCAAGCGGGAGCTTGCTTAAGATTGGAACCCCCTGGGCGTCACATATGTGAACAAACCAATTTCTATTCCACACGATTTTTCGCACGATGACAATGAGGGGTCCTAAGATGGGAAGGTTGGGCCAATTACGGGAGATCAGGATTGAGGGGAAATTGCATCGGTGTCCTCACTTTTTCATCTTTTTGCGTCGCTTCTTTTCGGATGGCCGGGTTCCGGGCCGAGCTAGTCCCGAGAGGGCCGATTGAGTGGCTGTCGCGCCGACAAAGGCGCCATTAATAATGTTTGAGGTCGCTTCTTTCTTGTTTTGTTGTCGGTTTTTAGGCGCGGAGATCGCGTGGGAAGTTTTGCTTTTTTTTTAAATTCTTTTTTCGAATCTTGTCAAGCCCTCGATGGCTCTCGAAATTTCGGACTTTCTTTCCGAAATTTGCATTTTATTGAAGTTTTTTTTGCAATAAGTTTAGGAATTTAGGAATTCGGGATTTCTTTTGCCGCGTGTTGTCTTTCTTGCGCGCTTCTTTTTGCGGCTGCAGCGGGAACTCTGATTAGTCAGCGCCCTTAATCTCGTGCGTAACTGTAATTTTTTGGCAGGCGCCATTGTAACTGTATCTCCCTTCTTGAGCTTCGTCTTTCTCGCCCTCTCCTTCTCTTTTTGCTATGACGGTCTAGCCTGCAGGCTGCATGATCGGATCGATGCGCGGAGAGTGGCTACGTCCCCCACGCCGCGGTCTAGCCATGCAGAACGTAGAGGCTCCCTCTCCTAATCTCCTTTCTAAGTCCTTGCAATTTTGTGTTCTTCGCGCTTGCATGCACACTATAAATTTCGGTTGCTCGATTAGGTAACTCTCTTAACTAGTTGTTGGAAGCTCAGGGTAGCGCGATCAGTGATGGTTGGCTCACGAGCGAAGTAAGAGGTAAGTTGAAGTAGGAGTCGGGCGACCCGACGAGCTGGTGTCGAATGTGCGGGGTTGACGCGTGGGGCTACGATGGACTATAGCGAGTGAGCGAACCTAACGGGTGCAGGAGGACTAAGCGGGGCGATGACTTCGTGGGTTGGTGCGTGACGACGGACTGTCCGCATCGGAGAGAGAGAGAGAGAGAG